ATTCGTATTGAATAATTTAATATGGTGATTTAATGATTAATGTACATTGTTTTGTACAGATGTATTGGTTGTTAGAATGATGTGTAGATTGCCATGTTTTATTAATCTATATTTTATAAGTCTAGTCTCGATACACAGCATGATAAGCATTTCAAGAGGTTCTATTCTACAGAAAACTATAAATTATTGACATTCTATTGAAAATCATTGCTTTAACCATTGTTCTATTTTCGATCCACTCGCTTCCTATTTTTTATATCTTAAGGGTCTTGCATCCTTCTGTCAACAAAATCGCTTATTTTACCAACAACATGATCCAAAGTTCTGGTTTTAGGGTAAAGAAAGAATCGCCAAATATTCAAAGTTTTCTTTCGTTCGTTGTTCTAGTGCAAATGATTGATTAACCTGTTGCGAGTGTTATGTAAGTTCTTTAAACTTACGATTATGTAGAGGGTCATACCCTCTGGGGATATTATAGGCATTATACTTCTTTCTCGTTTTCTCATTATAATATTGTTATAGAGGTTTGTTGTCACGATAAGCTATTCTGTTTGGGCTATTATACCTTTGCTTATGACTATATGATATTAAGTGCCCAAACTTAATATAATTTAATTGTTGAAAGAGAGAATTGTTGGCAGACAGGCTTACCGTATTACATGCTTAATCCGGAATGAAAACGCATTGTTTGAATTGCGCCATTATCAAATAGTACGACCCATGCAAAGCTTTTGATCAAATGCAATATGTTATCCATTTATATTTCAAACAGTTCTATAATGTTCACAGATTCGTGTCATTAAAATGCTTAATAAATGTTGAAATATATATCAATCTTATTTCAACAAGGAGGTTTATCGGTGAAAATCTTTAAAATCTTGTCAATACATATTTGATCCATTTGAAACGTTTAACAAAGTTGAATATAAATACAAAATGACCCGCAGTAAAAGACGAGCTTGGTTGTGAAACATGGTGGTCAAAACTTGATATTTGAAAAGAATTGACTCATAATTGAATAATTGAACCTTCAAATGTTATAGTTCCTCACATTCTCTGATCGTAAATTGAATACGTGGCCGATTGACCCACATACAACTCAGGAATGTTGAAAAAGATGATACTATCATATGACATAGCTATCGTCTAGATCAGAAGAAAAACATTGTGACGGAGGAAGAACCCTATCCGCCAAAAGGCATTACTAATTGGTAATATTAGACTACCAAGTGCGCACCTGAACTAAGCTATCCACCTTCTCTAGTTCATCAAGCGAGTCAAGAAAGAGATATTCTTTAACCCTGAAATGTTAAACAAAATCGTATTTGAGAAACAGTGATTTTTGGAATCAGACACCATTGCGCGCTGTGTAATAAGACATATGAGTATCTAGTGTCTTCGCATCTCCACAAGATCAGTGCTAACAAGACTACCCCTTGAGGTGTTAAGACACCTTAGTGGATAGTGGATTGATCTGCCCATAATTTACAGTTGAAGTAAAATGGTGTTGTCTGAGTTTCGGAATCATTGCAGCATACTATTCATGTTTTCAAAGACTGGTTGGTGCCACTTCCATAAAGGGTTAAAACAACCGAAACCTTAATCGAGATGGGTGGTGTATCATTATATAAGTTGATATAATAGAAAATTTGTTCTCTTGTTCAGATTATCAAAAGGATGCATTTAAACATCAATTCATTAGGTTAAAAATTTTGCAAATATTGGTACAGTCAGGTAATTGACTAAGTATGAAAGTATGACTATTACACAAATCCGGTTTACGTGAAGCTTTTATTGCTTTATCAATAAATTCCCATTGATCAGTTCGCGGGGCTTGGGAACGAGTATACTCTGTTGAAAGATCACCACGCATGTGATACAGACAAATGCCAAATATAGGTCGATACAACAAACAATAGGGCCAGGAAGCTTCTAAACAATCACATAGTCGATGACAATACCTGACAATAACTGCTTACATGACGATGTTGATACAATTCACAATATTAACAAGCATAATATATTCAGGTGGGGATTCGGCTGGCCATTCTCTAAAACTGATTGAACTACATAGACCTATTTTTCTAAAGGCAACGTGGCACTCAACGCTATGTTGAAACATGAAATAGCGCAATCCACACATGAGACAGATCAATGGATTCCAAAATAGAATATGGCTGACACTTTTTAAACACAGCAGCTCGTAACAATCTATATTTGTTATTTGTATGTCTAGCAAGTGCTGCCATCATATTCTGTGTGCTTCACACATTTTAAAACTATTCGTTGTTCATTATGTGCGAGGTCCTCACATACCATGGTATGGATCTCCTCTTCAACTATTGATTTAGTCTTCTCATTTGCATTGTCTTTAGGTTTGGCAAAGGCAATTTATATTGGAGCATTGATTGCCCTAAGATACCAACTCAAAGCACTTCAAAGTAGAATTAACTAACTCTTAACGTGTATATTCTAATGAAAAATATGTAATCCATTGTCTCCCGGTCTTGGTCAATTGTCAGATGAGAGGACTGAGTGCCTGAAGAGGCTGATGGTGTTGCCGTTTGCGATATTCGCCTATTTCTGATGTACAGTTACCCACTTCAGGGCTATCAAAATAATGTGAAAATGGTATAAACAATCGTTTAGATTAGCATCCAATAAAAAAGTTGATACAAGACAGTTTCTCAATAACTATCAATACATGTCCTTTTGCTGAAACTATTGGCAGATTCGACTTTCTTGGGAGCAAAAGTCGAAATTTCAATTTCATCACAACTGTCTTATCAGGTGAATTGTGCGGTCGATGGCACTCGCCTTTCATTCGCTGTGTGAACGTGTGTGTTTTATATCTACTACCAGATGTGTTTGTATTATAAATGTCTGATGGAGGGATCGTATGCATACAAAATTCCTAATTAGACCACTCCAGTCTTTGACTGCAGAGAACAAAACATACGTCGAGTGATTACATAGAACTCTCAATGGAAACCACTCTCTCATGGTCTTATGAATATAAACCAAGATCATCCTAGCTTTATCAGGTTTAGATGGACTAAGTTGTGAAATGGTTTTAGGGAATTCATTGACTCTCCAAAACCAAAAATATACTGAATATGTGATAACCACCCAAGGAAAGATTTGTCTACATCCTACATACGATGTAATTAACTTTACATCGAGGTACTAGTGATGACCTTGAGCTTGACTAAGTTTTCAGGAGAGGGGCAATGACTTCGAAGTTAAACCAAATCCATACAGCATTGGCACTTGCTCATTAAACAGATTGTTTAGGGCACGTTTAAAGAGAGAGAGAGAGGGTTAGAGTATTGTTACATATTTCTTCAATGTTAAATCAAACATTTTATAGAATATTTACATTTGCCTACTTGTGTGCAAACTCTTTGCAAAAGGCAACAAAAGATTCTACGACCACATATACAAGTGTAAAGTACTACAAACGTCTTATTTGGCAAGCCATTTAAAATGTATATATAACAATATGATTTGTACTTCATTTAACTGTATATTCTTAGTTGAATGTTTTTAAATATGTTCCTTTGCACGTACAACAATGTGGAATCCTGACTAACGATATTATTAAAATGGAACCAACCTTGAACAGTAGCCCAAGTGTCCTTAAAACAATCCCTATTCCTCATTCGGTTCAAATTGCAATATAAAAAACCCAATCTTGTGGACCCCAATAAGAAAACCCAAAGGGTGACACCCCAATATATAATGCACTGATTTTATTAGCCATGAGTATAACATAAAGGTAAATAAATAGGTCAAGAGTTTTATTGATCGGATCATCAACCTAATGAGATGTCTCACACATTTTCATTTATTTATTTTCAATGTAAAGTATAGAAGATACAATATTTGTATATACCTTACTGAAATATTGAACTAATGTAACGTTATTAGCTTTCACACTAATGTATTTGACTAGTCTTCGGTGTTGCACAATCAATGGACATACGAAACCATCAAAGTTGAAGGTGAACGATCGAGGTCACTTGGTATCCCTTTCACATTACATGCGACATCATCAATTATTGCATCAATACTTTGACGTGCATTATTTGGAATATCAATATCATCAACACATTGTGAATATTTTGTACTTTAGATGCGTAGCTAATGGAGGTTTTAATGTTTGGCTGTACTCAAAGGCGGAGTAGTAACTTTTTAATATTGAGATCCTAAACTCTCTCTCTTTTTCACTTTTTCTAGACAGAACCACTCACTAATTCAACATTTAATCTAACAATACCTTTTCAGTAGTTATATAGACACAAGTGTCTTGCTATGAAAAATGATATTCTCCTTTTGAATTTTTGTAAACAAACTATTATAATGGCTTTGTATCGTGGAACTTTTCTTTTGGACCTGAGTTCCAATACATGAAAAAACTTGTTGAACTTTGGGAGCAATGTAGACCTTTACTTTACCGTTATATTATTGCCGACTGAGATCGTAAAACTTAAAACAGTCATATATATTTTCATAGAAATTAGTACATACCAAAGAAAGCCAACAGCCACCTGGTCGTAAATCCACAATAAGTATAAAAGTTGAACGCATAAAGCAGAATGCAAGAGTTCTGGAAGATCTATTATGGCATTAAATTGTTAAAAAATAAATCGGATTGAAATGTGTTTATGGAAGTTGTTATCCTGTAATGTTTAACTATTTACAATTCAAAACAACAGGCCGAGCATTTTGAGGGTCGGTCGACTTTGGGTAGTATACAGTAAAGATTCTTTTAAGTTTTTTTGACAAAAAGTACATTTTTACTTCATGGTTGACATGTTTTCCAGATAATTGAACCAGGTAGTTTTTCTGTGGAAAAGCAGATGTGATTAAATCACTTCGTGAGGGCAAGTTGGTACTTGTATAATTCAGTCTCTTGTTGCATCTTTAACATTATGCCATTGATGGTGAGTAGAATCACCACCTTTAAAGTTCCTCTGTATTCTCATTTAGATACTTACCCATACTGTCCTTGTATTCCCGCCAGTGCTGATGCTGGGTAACCCGCCTTAAGCGTCAATGGCAGTGCTGAAAGACAAGACAAAGTGATTAGTGAGGCAATTGGGGCAATTGGGATGCAGCTTTGTAACCTGTATTTGATATCAATGAAAGTACTGGACTACAAGAAACTGAGAAACTGTCAAAGTAGAAGTTGGTGAAATAGGAATGGAACTGACATCCCAAAAAAGATTACACTCTGTTGTACTGGGGGGTAATTATTTCTGAAAATTATTTTCTATTAGCCACTTTAAGTAAATATAAATTCTGTTGTAAGACAAACAATTGTAGAAAGGAAAACATTAGCTAATCTCATAACCTATTGGAGAATTATATTTCATTGGTGTCAAGATTGGAAAACAGTTCATATTATGAAATGAAGGTTTACTTTGGCCAGCATATAATAGATTTTTATGACTCAACATGAATTTGGACAATCCGAGACTGGAGATTGTGAAAATATTTGATTTATTAAGTCAATATAGCGCCAAAGCATTGCTCACATTTACCTATGGAAAAAACCTATTGAAATTAGAAAATACTGGGTACTTAAGTCTATTTTGTTATTTTATATTCCCATTGCTTCATACGCAATCAGTTTAAGGCCCATTTGGAGTTCTTTTTCATTATTGCTTGGAATCCTTAAAGCCAAATTATGAATGGTGAGATTTCTAAAGAATCGAACTTTGTTCTACTTCAATGCTACAATTGAGTGCTCAATTTTTCTGGGTTTATATACAAGATTTGGATCGCGGACCATAATCACATTTCATTCTAGGCACTTAGCTGGCACATTATTCTTGTGAATATTGTCTCGTCTATTGATATAATCCGCCATCGGGATAATCTACCAAAAGCGGATTTAATTTCAATGGCTTTATCAATTTTAGATGAAATTAAAGTTGAATGAAATTAAAGAACATTCAGTGAACTCATTTTCCGAATCTAATAATAATTGTCTTGAATCAAAGACTAAGCTTCTCGTGAAAACATTAAAGCCTATGATATGTACTAATAGGATGATATTTCAAAGAATACAAAAATTAGAATGAACTTCACAATCATGGTGTTATACTGCATACCTATTCTAATGAATTGATTTGCTTCTTAAAAGAGAGCTTCATCTTATGTACTTGGCTCTGACACTCATGGTATGTGTTATTTTAAACATGGGCTTCCTCAAGGAACAGAAGAAAGAAGACATCGCTAGCTTCTGTATTAGCATCCTGCCAATGAATGAACACATGTTCCCTGGCCAATACCTTGTAAACTAGGCCCTTATCAGGATAGTTGGGGACTGACATATCCCAGGAAATAATTGATGCCATATGCTAAACAACAACACTAACACGTGCTTTTCCTACTTTCAGCACATCTCTCACTCATCCAATATGTCTGTGTAAAATATAGCATTTCGATGAACACTTATTACTTAAATTACGTCATGATCCATGTGATCTACATATACGTAAACACAATGGTCACCCATAATGGACGATGGAGATAACCAATAAAATAGAAAATGGTAACGCCCTCAGAACATCGAAAACCAGGTACTAGTATAAGAAAAGAAATACAAAATTCCAACCAAAGATCTTATGTGTAGCATATATACAACAGTGTCAAATGACCTCACTTTAGCCATCGTTCAAGACCGAACCCCACAATCCAAAACCACAAGACCATGGGTCATTTCAGCCATAAAAGTGGCCCAGATGTGGAGGCATCTACTTTGACATTGTCATTACCGAGTAAGCATTCGTCTATAGTTAAGAAGTAGGATTGGGGAGAGTTACATCTTAACAAAGATTTCAAGATGTGTACCTGTTTACAACATACATGAGAACCATTGCTTGTGAAATCAACAGAAACTATGCTTGGCTCCAACAGCTCAAAAACATCACTATTTGGAAATGGTGAACAGGTATGGCGAAATCTTCATTTCTAACTTGCGCATAGTTTCGGCAACACGTGTAGCAAGTATAGCCAAGAAGCTGCTGCTTTATGTACTAGGCAGCTGTCTTCGGGTTTTGTTTAACTTCCAGCGCCAGAAACATGCAAGAAATATGCTCAGGGGAGAAATCTTAACACAGAAAAACCAGTTTCGTTCAACATATACCTTTCCATCAAAGAAATAACGATACTAGGTATGTGGATTGTCCAGTAAAATTCTGGTAGGAATTTGTGGATGCACTAATTAGTAGAAGCGATGTGGAGGATGTTGAGGCTTATTATATAGACCTACTGCTGTGGTAAAAAGAACTGATGGCTCAGAGATAAACAGAAGAAATCCCCAAAGATTCCTTACCATCATTTACACCATACTACACTGACCTTATCTGTTTTCACCTTGGTCCATTTACACCATAATTAAGACATACTTTACGTTTAGACTACTAGAATCAAATCATTCCTGATCTGTGAAAACGAAGATATTTCCATCTTTGTTCATATACACCTAGATGATGAAGGTTCTCTCCATCCCAGATATTCACCATGATCAAGAAATTGCACATATAGTCTGGTAGAATCAGATTCTGAGTTTTGAGTGCGAAGATCTTCAAAGGAACATGAGTTCAAGTGGAGGTCCTGTGTACTCATGTTTGCCTATCTACTCATGCCACTCATGTTCAGTTGACTTACGACAACGGCATGTCACAAATGTTCATTGTTTTTCACACGTTTCAGAATGACATCTAAATTAGAAGATGACGTAATGGTACTCTAGAATTTCTCCCTTCAAGTCTTAAGCATTGTTTATGGGAAATATATGGGGAGGAGGGGCAGAAACTTGCATGTGCAAGACTAACTGAATGGTTCAAGTTAAATGAGTACACGTGTTTCATTCAGGTTATATCTTCTTAGAATCTCCAGAAACTCTAGTATTATTAGGACGAGTTTTAAGGGAGATCTATGATGATTTACTGTACCTGGAGTTATACCTCGTGGTTTGGCACCTAGGTAGGCGAGGTTGACATTGGCTTTCCTGCCATCTATAACGGGGTTGGCTTCTTTGCATGCTCTTTCTGCAGCCGTTCTTTCAGTCATCGTCACCTGGAAGACACAAAATGATTGGTCATTTCAGGAAAACATACAATATGATCGATCAGCAAACAACATAGAGGTCATTTCAGTAAAGATACATAATGATCGATTATTTGGTAGACATACGGGATGATCGGTCATTTCAATGATTTGTATGATCATGATTTGTATGGAGTATCTGATTAGACAAAATGGTCATTTTGGAACACATGAAACGATAATGTATTCATAATTATAGGATTTTGGTGACACACAATGGTGACACACAATGTTCAGCAGGTATAATTAACAACCCGTTTTTATATTTAGTTGGGTAAATTCTATAAAAGGTTGTTTGGTACACTTGAACTCTTTAGTGATTTTCGTTATGATGACAACAATCGAAATTTGACAATGCGTAAGCGTGCCACTATTACTTTAGATTGGTTATGCATGATAACTTTATTCAGGTATATGACATTTATGCTGGATTACATGCCACGACATAACAGCATTATGATGTAATTAATGATGTTTGGTGCAATAATGATATCATGCAACAAAAATATTCTTATTGATTGTTCAAACGTGGATAACATGGTAGTTATTGTTGTTCATTATTCCACGGAGTGGTTCCATATATTTTGTTTGTAAAGTACCTTTACCTATTGAGTTGAGAAAAAGTCTGGTTGGAGTGTGATCCCTTGATTGGTTGACTGATCGCTTAATTCATTGATTGATTGATTGCTTGATTGATTGCTTAATTCTAGACGATTCCTAGTATTTAAAGGCCCCTCTATGACTATATAGATCGTTTATACTCAATAGAGTAATATAGACAATAGTACAGTAGAGCGTTGGTTCCTAACACGCAAGTTCCACAAGACTCAATCACTAAATAATTCAAGAACAAATTATACCTGTAAATAATTTATTACAACAAAACAATGGAAGCGCTATGCATTACAACTCTGAAAGCGATTGATGAATAAATAAAACAAACATTTGTGATTGGAAATACCATAAGGAATACACCGAATAGTGTTCTCATTAATTCTATATGTTTTTTGAGTAACAGCAATATGACAACTCCCTGCGACAATCTAACTCTACATACACTCATTTCAGTGCAACATATGGAATTTAATTTTAACATATTAGTGAATCTATTGCCCAATCTGTCATTTGAATGGTTCATAATCTTCCTATGCAAATGATATTTTTAAAACAGCCCAAAACTTACTCTGGGTGTCATAGCCTAGAACATTACAGGGAGATGACACTCCAAAATCGAACTTGAAAATGGCACATAACTGTAATGAATGTTTCAGGCTTGTTTCAAAGAAACGCAGATCCAATGACTAAATGAACATACGAATGCAAAAACCTGGATATTTCATAAAAAAATCTGAATTTTCCCGCTATCTCTTGCCCAAAGAGACAGAACCTAGTAGCGGAAAAGCAGATGTATGCCATCCTGATTATAAATATTTAAGTTGTAATTTAAACAATTTATCTAAGATATGTTACCTTTCTGCTTTTATTGCAAACGTTTTGCCAAACTTCTAAAAGATAAAAATGAGGGATGATACAACATGGTCTATAAAATAGATACACCAAACGTTTCTGAAGATGAGAGAATAAGCTTGTTTTTCAGCTTTGATAACGTCTTTACTGATAGCTATGGAGACGGGAGTTCATCCCGTACTTCTGTTACCCAAGCCTATACAACGAGCAACGTTTTGAAACAACGTGGATCGGGTTCGTCATGTTCTATCAATGTGTGTAAGTGAAAGGAATACACTACTTTAACAGTATGGGCCAGGTTTGTTTAGTCATTCATTTGACATAGGCCTATGTATCGCACGTGGTCTCTGAACCCAACCTTAGAGATTCTATGAATGGTACTAAAATCTCTTGGAAAAATATTAACACTCTAGCTTATATTTGCGGATTTTGTGTGGAACTTAATAAATAGGTAATTCTGATACAAAATGGCTAGTTGATTATATAATGCATTGTTGCTTTAAGACTGTTATTGGTATTTACTATATATACCTTTAGTTTGGGAAAGAGAGTACAGGTCAATATATTAGAAATCTTAACATGTGACCCAGTGTTGTTCCGGAATTAACAGAAGTAAGGGGAAATGGACCAAATCCAAAGAGCGTTGCCATTGGGTAATGAATTAACGTAACCCAAGTATTCCAGCGTTCACATTGTTCATCATACTTTCGCAGCAAGATGACTAAGTTTTGCCACAAGACATTTTGACGTTTATTTTTATATGAGATTCCGAAAGATGATGTTCCAAGTTATTAAGATCCCAGCCTCGAAAGGTCACGTTCCATAATGATGCGAAACAACAAGAAAGAACTAAATTAACAAAGGTATTCGATAATGAAATCAATCTATTTAGTATTTCGTCAAAAGTTATTTTATCAAACCTTTCTGGGTAAGATTTGTATTAATTCATTTGACGGGATTTTAATATTTTAGAAGGGTTTTTCATGAGGAACATCAGAGAGGTGGTAATTAATTTTATTCCCCGGGGATCATTTATACTCGGGTCTATGCACAATATTGCTATTAAACTCATAGATGTTATATCAACTACTAGTATTTATGTATCAATTTTTTCTTCAATTTCAACGCCTCAGGTCTTTTAGCCGCATGACACTGATATTCTCACACCTTGCATTCCGTTCATTTCTTCGGAATGGAAAATAAATGTGAAATGCAGTTTAGACAGTTCAGAAAATATCTTCCTTTTCTATAGTGTAAAAATAAGACCAAAACACCAGTCTTGCGTCTCCGTTGCCACGGTGTTCATTTTATCCATGTATCCATCCAAAGATTGGGATGGGCGCGAGACTTATGTGATATTTCCTTGTTACCCCAACATAGAGAAAGGAGGGGTCATAGAACTCACAAGAATTACCATTTTCATGAGAATGTCCTAAGATTATCATTGAGGGCAAATATCAGTTTTATGCTGTTTTGAACAGTTTATGAACCAGATGACAGCTTAGAATACAACCCCCTCCCTCAGAATCCATTGATCAGCGTTTGGGCCTAGGGGCATTGATCAATAAGTGTTTGTCAATAGTGCGGTTTTCATCACCTTTTCATCCCATACAATTTGTGGTTCTTTCACTTGGAGAGTTGTGGTTCATTCCCAGGGTCTGTCTCTGGTAAACTACCCCTGCCCCAAACGGACATATGCAAACAGCACCCAGTTCAAGTAAATATGTGTCTAGCCCGACTTTGAAGTCAACTATTATATTAACTCTAAGACTAAATGTACACTTGAATAGCAAAAAGAAAATATTACATTGATTATAGATAAGCCACGTGTAGTTTGTACTTCTAATAGAGCTTTTGTTCAGAAAGTTGAAATCAGATCATATTTTACTTGTACTATTTTAGAAAGTCAATGCATTGCTTGTTTGGGAGGGTCCGAACTTAAAAAAGAAATCCACGAATGTATTCATATCATGGGTTCAAATTAAGATAGACGCATTGAAAAACAGTTCACATAATACATGTTGAGCATATTTATTTTTAGATTTTCCATCATCTTTAATCAATTATGGGTTCAAAGAAAAACACAATGATAACATCATGTGGGCCAACGGGGTGAGAATAAGCTTAAAAGATAACTGTAACACATTTTCTCTAAATTAGGAAGCTACCAAAATATTATACCTGCTTCAAAATGATAACCTTACATTTGCTTTCATCTCAATCCAGGTACAACTGTCAATTCTCCACATGCTTTAATCCGCTGTTTCCATTTACATTTAGCAGATAATTAACTTGTGATTAATGTTATTATAAGGACTTTAGGAAACTAATAGAAAGCATGCTAATTATTACGATTGGTCATTGTTGGTTTATCCTTTTCAGTTTTATTCATTTAGATGTCAAACTGAGAGATGCTGACATTAACAGTTTAATTTGTTATAGGATTAAACTGATTGCACATTCAAAGCTTTGATTTTTTAAATTTAAAGGCAATTAATATTGTTGCTGATATCGACATCTGTAATTCAGAATTAAAATTGATTTATTTTCTTATCAATATCCTGTTTCCTGGATGTAAATTATCACTGGATACTTTTGAATTAATCTAGGTGTGAGTAGTGCGAAAAATGCTAATACCAGAACAGAAGCACACGATGCGCCAAAGAAGCTTCTATATCATTAGCCAATCTACCGCAATGGCTGACATATAGATTGGAATGTTTACATCAGAAGTCACTACACCATTTCAACTCTACCCCTACCTGCCCACCTTGCCTAAGATCAGCTGTTCGAATTACATTAATCCTAGATAGAGATATTCATTCACAATCAGCAGTCATGTTGCCAACTCTTGTTCTTCAACTTACATTTTTACAACTGGGTTATTTTGGGAAATTTCAAAATGTAGAAATCCTCACAATATCTTGTTATCAAGTGGCAGATCATTCGGAAAGCTGAGCAAACAACATTGGAACCTGTTGATTATACAACGCTTGAAGATTTTTGGAACCACGAACCTTTAAATGATTATGTTTTAGCCTCAAAGATACCTAAATAGGTTCAAACAACCATCATGTTGAAGGAGTTTCTGGAATTATTACCAAAGATGTCTGTAATGCGCACATCTTCTGTCTGGTATTTATTTTCCAACCAAAAACCTTGGCCTACAATTTTAGCTGCTCGTATTGAATATGCTTTTGCCATTAAATTTGATTTTTTTAAATTATATCAGGTAAGATAGAATGCTCTGAAACTAACTTGACCAAGTTGCCTTCATATTATGCATAAATGAATCTGTTGGCTATCATTTTATCATTTGATTTTGATTTTGTTTATCCGACCCCTGCCAGGAGGCTGTTTGGGCAGTGATTGAAATTATCTGTAGAGCACCCTCATGAGGGAAACCTGATCCAAAACGATGATCCATCTAGAAGTTTAATGTAAAAGCTCGGGCAATGTTCACACGATAACCCAAGATAAAAGAACTGAATACCAATGTGCAAGAATTCCTGTGAATTTTGAAACTCATCTCAAATACGAGTTTACATGCTTCAATATGACTGAGACAGAATTGTGCAGGGATTTTATTAAATTATTTATGAAATTAAACAGAAATCGTTTCCTAACTACAGAAGATGTTCTTATCAAGAATATCAAAGGCACATCAACTAATGTTTACGTTCTGTGTTTGTACAGCCTTCATGACTAACACCATAGGTGACAAATAGCATATTATATCGCTTATGAGGTTCCTCTGGCCCGATTCGTACTACTCAAAGCTGAAAACGCATCAAGATAAGCACCATTAAAGATGAAATCTAGCTTTTCAAAACAGATGGGTTAGATGATTTGAGGTTTTGATGATCCACAGACAAAACTTGCAATCGACGGGGCTACTTAAACTGTTAAAATCATACTGGCAGCAAGAAACTTCAGAACTTACTCGTTAATTGAATTTAGCTTCTGCATTTTGTACTGAACTTACAGGCAGATGCACTAATATAGAAATTCCAGTAACTGGTTTGATTGACACGGACAGGTCACCGACATAACAGGGTCATCCCCAAGGCTATGTCTTTCCGTTCACTTTCCATGTCACTAAGAAATCTCTCCATATGTTCCTCTTAGAGATAAAGAAAACAAAGAATTTTCTGGCCTCTGATCTGCGTTACATTAAGACCATAAAAAGTTGAAAAACAGGCCTGGAAAAGTAGAGTGGAAATATCCAGTGTAATTACTCGACTTAGTGTCTTGAGCATACACCGAGAACAGTTGAAGAAGAGTTAACCAAATGTTGAGCAAGTGAAACAAGATAGGTATAAATCCATATGCAAGGATGAACCATTTAGTAGAGCATTCCGAACGACTATTTAGATGAAGAATTAGATGAGCTACCTAGGCCCAAATAGCCCGTAACAATCAGTAATTCACCAGAACAAACCACCCAGCTATTTCATGAGCCCAAAATTGAAATAAATGTAAAGTTAAATTCAGGAACAATTTTCATTTGGTATTTATCAGGATGGTGGAACATAAAAATCAATGGTGAGGCTATCTCTCTAAGTGTGTTTTATATGATTTGTTTTTGTAATGTAACTCACGATGGTTATGAAACTAGAAGAGGACGGGTGTGACTGAACAGATCACGGATATGTTGATATTGATACCCCAATAATGGATCTTGAATATCAGGTTTCTGTTTTTAGCAGACCTCCTTGTGGTTTATGGTTAGGTAGACCTAGATATAAAGCGTGTGCTCTACACTTGAAGTACATGTGGATATGATGATCTCAGATTTTTGGATTGAACTTTTCCTGTGTATTATGTTGTTCAGAGTAAACTTGTCACTATAAAAGAAACTGTGAAACTGAGTAACTATGACCCAACTGCGACAAACACGCAATAACAGTCAATGTACTTTTGATTAGTTATTAAGCCAAATGGTTTCAATGTCAACCTGGCTAATTCAGCAAATGGTTCAAAGGAAGGTCCAACAAGTGAAATATACTTACAAAGCCATATCCTCTGCTTTTTCCAGTCTGTCTATCTGTAATGACCACTGCTTCTTCGATCTCTCCAAAGTGTTCAAAGAATTCCCGGAGGGAAGCGTCTGTTGTGTGGTATGGGAGTCCTCCAACGAAGATCTTGGTGAATGTGGTATCTTTCTGAGTTACAAGAGCCATTTTATTAGTTATAAATGTCTTTCTGTCCTTCACAGCAGATTGAGCAAATGCAGTTCGTGTTATGTGATTGATATCAGATATATTAACAACGTCGTTTTAATTCCCCCTTCTGATCTTCTTCAGCTAAATGAATTTGTAACTTTGAGTGAAGTTCTCAACTTAGATCTGTGCTAAAGATGGTAGAATTTCACTTTGTGTTCCTTAGTTGCTAGTCCAAATGGTCATTACTGTGTTGCCTCAACTAGTTATCGTGCTTAATAAAGTCTCGTTGCTTCTCTTCTGTTATAACTTTCTAAGCCGATTCTACAACACTCATGGTTGGCTGGCCTAATAACGGATTGGTGACGTCACGTAATCCCGCCTCTTTAATCCAATAAACCCCTCCCTTTCACATTAATTAGCGAACACGTGCGTTTTGTTTCAATATTAGCAGGCTAAACTTGAGTTTTTCCAAACTGAAATATTTAATGAACTTGTTTTTTCTTTAATTGCACTTTTTAAGCATATGCTATTTTACCGCAGCTTAGTATAGAATTTTGAGGTTTTACGTTGCAGCTTTAATACTTTCTTTGGCAGACCTTCACATAAAATTTAAGAATCATTAACAAAACGTTTAAACACTGTAAGTAGAGACCATTGAAAGTGTTGATTATTTTTCTCTATTTCTATTTGATTTTCTCTGGCTATTCATACAGCGATGACTGACATCCATACAGCCAAGGGCTTGAGAATACACTTTGCCAAAAAGGCGCAAAACTCAATATATTATCATGTTTCTCAGATAGCCTATGAACCTATTGCATCTTGTACCAGATGACATTGACAACGCATGACGAATAATTGTAATTGTATTGTGAAAGATATCCAAAAAGTGACAAAAATCTCTAGAATCATACGATTAATATTTCTGTTTTCCAAGGGCTGTGTATTGACAAATATTGCCCTAAGTATAGAAATTTTAACTCTAGGAATTCAACTAAACAGATTTTGCTCGCCTCTGATTTATAGGGTATTAAATGCTTGGCGGCCCTGCATAAAAAGCGACAAATTATAAATGTCTTGCAGATCATTCATACATTAAGTTTTATCATCTCTATAAAACAGTTTGAAAACAATCATTATATACGATTGTGCATCCTTGAATACTGAAATACATGGTTTGTTAAGGAACGCATGGCCTTCATACAAACTGACAACTTAAGAAGTACAGAAATCCATGGTTCTAGGTTGAATAACCCAGATGCGAGTAGAAATAATCTTGTTTTATGTCATTAAAACTTCAAAATCCAGTCAAAGTAATATCATATTTGAAATCTACATGTAAAATCACATCTTTCTATGTAGAAATGTGGTTTTAAAAAGTGTTTATCAACTTTGAAAAATTAATTTTCTTTGAAAATGTGACTTCTAGCTCGGGGAGATTCCCCATAGACCCCATGCTATACAATCACAAAAAATGAAATATCTTTTCTTTTAGTAGACAGATAATATTTTGCTTTACTGGACATATTTTTATTAGTATAGGAATAAGACACATAAGGGTTACATGAAAATTGAGCCACTTAAATTGATAATATTCAAGTTTAAGGGAACTTTCTTGTATACCTGCCATGTTAATTGACCCGAATCAGCCACCTGGTGGTGAAACTCGTAACTACCTACTCGCATCTGGGTAATTAGACCGTTGTGAGAACATGCATGACATTGAGCCTTTTGTGACCAACCATAAGGTGAGAGGTTTGGTGCACGACTCAATTGGCCCAAGTTGCACTGAGATTAGCAGGATAGGTTTATGTTTATCAATCAAAATTGTTTTGAATGGCACTAATTGATACATTATACTGATATGCCATGAAAAAAGAAAATATCGATGATTCTCAGCCCAAGACCACCCTCTTCCAACATGCATAACCTTTATCACTTTTACTTTAGAAGTGAAAAAGATGGATGTGGGATTCCTTGACGAGACTCTGTGCAAAACGGTCCAAAAATTGACAAGAATTCTTCTAATATAAGGAAATACATGTTTTTTATATAATCTAATGTAACTTCACTAAGTGAATGGATTATACCTAATATTGATTAGGATGAAAATAAGGTGATACATTTTATGACATATACCATGTGATAAAGAGCACACGGTTGAATTTGATGAAACTCTAAATAAAACGCTTAAATGCCATCTATAATTGAGATATGAAGTTTTTTCTACGTATTGACCTCACTGTTAATGGCTCTAATCTAGCGGGTTTGGGGATTTTTGGGTAACGGCATTGTGATACTCATGGCATCTTTCTGTTTCACCTGAAACATCCCAGCGCTGAGGAGAAATGAGATGTCATGGTTCATCACGATGGGGTAACGGTTTTTCTGTTATTTATGTCTTTTTGATATTTTTCAGAATTTCATTAACTGCAACGCAAAATGTACTTGCGAAACAGCGTATCTTTAGTGTGATGTGAATCATTATTCAATCGCTGAAAATGTTATCATTTTACTGCATTTGATTATCTGAAGACGTCGTCAACCCGTCAAATGTGACTGAGGCATCAGGCGTCTTCCTGGGCCTCTAAGAAGACCAGTCCTATACTGATAGAGCTACACAGAATAAATATAGTTTTCAAATCAAATCAAATAATTTAATATAACGAATTGTATAGATGGCAGCCACACCTGAAACGATTTTAGGTAGTTATCAGTTTTACCACCGGGTGGCTCGTTCGGGTCAGATAGCATGGCGGATATAGTAGAAAGTTCCCTTTTACTTGAATTACATCTGTTTTAGTGTTTCAAATTTTATATAACCCTTATGTATCTAATAGTTATGCAAATCAAAATATGTCCAGTAAAAGAAAATATTATCTGTCCATTATAAAAAAAAGATATTTCACTTTTTTGTGATTTTGTAACATGGGGTCTATGGGGAATCAACCCGAACTAGAAGTAACATTTTCAAAAAAAATTGAATTTTCAAAGTTGAGAAACAATTTTCGAAACCATATTTCTAAATGTACTTTTACACGTAGGTTTCAAATATAACATCACTTTGACTGAATTTTGATTATTTTATAATGTAAATTAAGATTATTTCTACTCGCATCTAGGCCTAGTCAGTAAAGCTCGTTGTTCACGGTGGCTGTAAGCAAATCAATTTCTTAACCCAGCTTCATATTACCCTTTGCATTCGTCAGTTTGACTTCGCTTCTTAATTTGAAATTATTTATGACCCAGGCTGTAACGGGTATAGGGCATGGGGGCGGGGCTACTAAACTGTTAATAGTAGTGTTATGTACTATATTCTAGTAGAGCCTAGTAGTACTAGTAGTGTTATGTACTATACTAGTATTCATCCAATACTAGGCAGCAGAGGGTAGTATAACTAGACTCTGCGCGCAGGGTAGCTTGATATGTCATCTATTATTCGGAAATAATCCATACTTGACCTTAGGATGTTTTTAGAGATAATATAGTTGCATAACAAAAGTTTACATCAACTTTGATTTATCGGATGATGATAAACTCCAACGCATCGTTGAATTAATCGTCAAGGTCAAAATTAAAGTAAAACCCACGGCCAAGAGGTCGTTACGGGTGTCGACGCCATTAGTTTTTTTTAATGAACTCATCACTATATGCCTCAAATAAGGTGAATAATTTGCGAATGAACAGTTCAAATGTTTGCAGTGAAGTGTTATAATATCCTGGGATACAGGCAATAAGCGAGTAGATCAAGTTACATGAATGCCCGGGCATTGATGTATAAAAGGGCCTATGACTGGAATTCCGACACTTCCCAACCATCTATAGAATCAGACACCTTCAAGAAGTCCCCAAATAAATCGGATGGGGAACAATTTATGTACGATATATTGGGTGTCCCAAAAAATGACCCACTTTTTGACAAGTATTATCTCAGCAACTGATCAACCAAATTCAATGAAAATTTGTACAGCGTAGCCCAAGAGTATCGGTAGCAAGGTATAAAATCATGAAAAAGATAAAGGAAAGGTTATGTGAGTACTAAGAAATTCAAGATAGCATGTCATAATAGCCCATACCGGAGAAACGAATTGAGAACTTTATAGCGTTTCTACCAAAAAATGGGAAGCAATTTGACAAGTAATTTCTCAGCAATAGATAAACCAAATTCTTTGAAAACTTTACCCGAGACACTTCAGGGTATCTTCTGCTAGTGCCATAAATATGTAAGAGATTGATCTCATATTATGTGTGTATTTTAGAATGCAAAAATACTTTTCCGTATTTATTCCAACAATATCACCTCCAATGAATTTGAGAATGAATTGGATTTTGGATATTTGGGATGAATGAAAAGAATTTATCAGAAATCACTCGACTTCCATCGAACGCAGTGAAGACCGAGCGTGCGTAGATGATAGCTGGTACAAACACTATAGAAGATTCATATCAGAACTCCGATATGGGAATTTTTGACATGCTATTTTTAATTTGTTAGTTCTCACAAAATTAATTTGATATTATTCATATTTTTACAACTTGTTAATAATACTCTTAGGCTACTTCATGCAAATTTTCATTGGATTTGGTTCATCAGTTCCCGAGAAAATTATTGTCAAAAAGTGGCTCATTTTTTGGGACACCTGATATTAACGACAAACACAATAAGGACAACTCAAGGAATGATCAATTCCTATCCTGTCAGTGTCTTCTAAGCTTTGTGTTCCCCGTTGGTAATTATGAGTCGTTTCCACAGGGAAATATAGACCCTTGCTTAAACATGATATAGTATACAATGGTCTGAGCAATATCAGGTATAGGCCTATAATAGCAAGTGATAAATCACATTATTTGGGATAGGGATGATATTGGGGATATCGGGATTAAAAGGGTGATATCAGGGATGATCACGTGATGATATGGATGATACATTTTTCATTTTCAACCTTATTTGACCATGTAATAATGTCGTTATTCACATGTGTCGGGATAATCTGAGTAGTATCCCTCAGATGATATCAATATTTGCAATATTTGCCCCTGTCACTGCATATTGGCATCAATTTCCCTTGCTCAAACCCATCAAGAGAAAGTTTTTATGCTTTTAAATTTCGCGCCTTTATTTCCCATGCTGCACCTCGTTTTGAAGTTTTACGCCCTCTTTCCACTAGGAAGTTGTCACAGACTAAAGGTACGTTTTCTTCTTTATTTATGCATGAATGCCTCGCGTTTTACATCTCAGGACTGAGGTATATTCTGGTTACCATCTTGGATACCGATCCATCAATTTGCATTGTGTACTTATTGGCAGTTAGGGCCTGGACTCCGAAAACCTTATTTCCGGGTTCAAATCCAAGATGGCAGCGCCCATCATCAGAAAAATTGAAACTTTCTTTGTCAGATAACAAGTTCATTGCAAGTCGTTGGAGTTTGTTTTTATAGTATTTGTGGTGTAGTTATAAAGGCTCAGTCATATACACTACTTCAAAGTTATGTTGAATTCTAAATAGCTATAAATTACCATTGTAATATTTATATAAATTTCCAGTAGGAAACTGGTTGAAAACTGGCTACAAATTGAAATTTCTCTATCATTTCAAAATTCATGTTAGCCTAGACACACATGTAGGATGTTGAATTTTATGTTATTACTGAATGTATATTTAGATATATTATGTGGTTTCTTTATTTGTATTCATATATGTTTTTGTTGTTCTTGTTTGTCTATTTGGGTCTGATGAACTATTGGGTGACTCATGTTCCATTATTGACTCATATTATCTTCCAGCACTGACCATAAATGGCAATGTCACAATATTAGCCTGATAGGCAAACTATCAGAGCATCAAACTAGCCTTATCATGTATCAATAATGTTACAAGAAGGGGGGGGGGGTAGATGAAGTTTCTAGATCTGAATCTGATTGACAGCTGGCCAACAGCAACAGAGAAGTATCTCTAAAAATGGGCTAAAATCCAAGGTTATCATCAAAAGATAGAAAGTGCTAAACATTTCAAACAATGCATGCCTACATTTCCCTTACAATCCAGAGTCTAATTATCTGGACAGAGATTTGACATACATGTACTTGAACGGAAAATTTAAAATGCAGAAATATCCAAATTCAGGCCAGGGAGACTAAGGCAGTGCTTTCGCCAGGGTTTTAGACTGGCACAGCATCTAGCGTATAATAGCTTGTAAAAAGAATGAAATATAACATAAATATGATTTATCACAATAGAACAATTATGCTGAAGTGAAGATGTTTGCACAACACCCTAAATATTTTCTGGTGAGAGCCCTCATCTTCGTTTACTCGGCTCCAATTGGTCGATGAACGCAGAGAAGACCGGAGTGTGCAAAGATGGAGAGCCCTGCAAGGAAACATACTTTTCCAAATTAGGGCCAAATAAACAAAAATATCATGAATGTCAGAAAAGCATGACAGGTAATGTTTTGCAAAAAACATAGTCTTATCCTTGTGACCCCCCCCCCTTACACACCTCATCTGATAGGTGTCTGAGGAGGTCGTCCAAGCATACCAATATTGGAGGCATACATCTCTGAGAAAATCCCTAAGAAAAAAAGATAATGTTTTTTGCAATGTACAGGGTGGGCCAATAAAAATTGGAACATTTTTCTATTTATTTGTGAAAATGTTAAAGATTAAAATATGTATGTATGATTAATTTTGGCTTGTCATGGTCATGATCTGTATACTGCGTTCGTCATGAAAAATTTCCACATTTCCTCTGCTCAATGCATCATTGCTGCAAATACAGTACATACTCATTTATTAGAGTCTCACGCTGTTTAATATATCACATACAATAAATACAATTAATATATAACATGTTTTGCACTAAAATTATTAATGATAAAACAAACAGCCCAGCCGGCACCGGCTTATGAGAGACTTTTAACATTTCATAACATTGAAGAATAGTTTTAAATTATAAGAGTCTATTTGTCATCATGATACCAATTGTCTTTGCTAGTATACGTTGTAATGAGGGGGTGCACATTTTACATGTATTGCAGTATTTCCCTAATGATGAAAGGTTTTCAAAGTCAGGAATTGTATCTCTGGCTCTTTGAAAAAGGTTAAAACATAATGTTTGATGTAAGGGACAGTCAATTAGAGAGTGCTGCTCGTCTTCAATAGACTCATTTGAACAAGAACAAGTCCTAACCGCAAGGGGTGTGGCACTGTATCTTCCTAGGGACTGCTGTGTGAGATTGGGGGAGGGCAGAAGGCCGTTAGGGCCCAAAAAGGACTTAATACAACTTCCTGTGTCAGAAGCGAGCAACAAATTGTCTAACCATATCACATATCTCATACTATTTCTGTCGGAAATCAACTTCCAGGAAGGAAACTGCGAAAAAAAAGATTTCTTTTAGAAATAGAAGATCCTTCGTTTGTTTAGCGGATTTTGACCAAATAAAGAGACTGAAGGTAAGATCTTTATCAGTACATGTATATTCATTCATTGGATATGACTTTTGAGTAAACAGGGTTTGTAGTTGAATTGACCAGTGTTGATGACTTGAGTGAACAGGGCTTCTGGTTGGCCAATGACCAGTGTTTGAGTAGATATGGTAAATGGTTGACCAAGGTTTGAGAAAATAGGGTTCATGGCTAACATGACAATGTCTTGAGTAAACGGTTCAAAGTTGACATGAAAATGTCTTGAATAAACGGTTGATGGTTGCCATGTCAATGGATTGAGAAAACATGGTTCATAGTTGACATGACAATGTCTTGAATAAACAGTTGATGGTTGACATTTCAATGGCTTAAATAAACAGGGTTGGTGTTTGACATGTCAATGGCTTGAATAAACAGGGTTGGTGTTTGACATGACAATGGCTTGAATAAACAGGGTTGGTGTTTGACATGTCAATGGCTTGAAAAATAGGGTTGGTAGTTGACATTTCAATGGCTTGAATAAACAGGGTTGGTGTTTGACATGTCAATGGCTTGAATAAACATGGTTCATAGTTGACATGACAATGTCTTGAATAAACGGTTGATGGTTGACATTTCAATGGCTTGAATAAACCGGGTTGATGGTTGCCATGTCAATGGATTGAGAAAACATGGTTCATAGTTGACATGACAATGTCTTGAATAAACGGTTGATGGTTGACATTTCAATGGCTTGAATAAACCGGGTTGATGGTTGCCATGTCAATGGATTGAGAAAACATGGTTCATAGTTGACATATGTCTTGAATAAACGGTTGATGGTTGACATTTCAATGGCTTGAATAAACAGGGTTGGTTTTTGACATTTCAATGGCTTGAATAAACAGGGTTGGTTTTTGACATTTCAATGGCTTGAAAAATAGGGTTGGTAGTTGACATTTCAATGGCTTGAATAAACCAGGTTGATGGTTGCCATGTCAATGGATTGAGAAAACATGGTTCATAGTTGACATGACAATGTCTTGAATAAACGGTTGATGGTTGACATATAAATGGCTTAAATAAACAGGGGTTGGTGGTTGACATTTCAATGTCTTGAATAAATCGGGTTGATGGTTGCAATGTCAATGGATTGAGAAAACATGGTTCGTAGTTGACATGACAATATCTTGAATAAACGGTTGATGGTTGACATTTCAATGGCTTAAATAAACAGGGTTGGTGTTTGACATGTCAATGGCTTGAATAAACAGGGTTGGTGTTTGACATGACAATGGCTTGAATAAACCGGGTTGATGGTTGCCATGTCAATAGATTGAGAAAACATGGTTCATAGTTGACATGACAATGTCTTGAATAAACGGTTGATGGTTGACATTTAAATGGCTTAAATAAACCCATGTCAATGGATTGAGAAAACATGGTTCGTAGTTGACATGACAATATCTTGAATAAACGGTTGATGGTTGACATTTCAATGGCTTGAATAAACGGTTGGTGGTTGATATTTCAATGGCTTGAATAAACAGGGTTGGTGTTTGACATGACAATGGCTTGAATAAACCGGGTTGATGGTTGCCATGTCAATAGATTGAGAAAACATGGTTCATAGTTGACATGACAATGTCTTGAATAAACGGTTGATGGTTGACATTTAAATGGCTTAAATAAACCCATGTCAATGGATTGAGAAAACATGGTTCGTAGTTGACATGACAATATCTTGAATAAACGGTTGATGGTTGACATTTCAATGGCTTGAATAAATGGTTGGTGGTTGATATTTCAATGGCTTGAATAATAGGGTTGGTGGTTGATATTTCAATGGCTTGAATAAACAGGGTTGATGGTTGACATTTCAATGGCTTGAGTAAAAAGGGTTCACGGTGGACATGTCAATGGCTTGAATAAACAGGGTTCATGGTTGACCAAAGGTTGAGTAAACAGGTTAAATGGACTTAAAATGGTTGACCAAAGTTTGAGTAAACATGATTCATGGTTGACATGTCAATAGCTTGAATAAACAGTGTGGATGGTTGACATTTCCATGGCTTGAGTAAATAGGTTGGATGGTTGACATGTCAATGGCTTGAATAAACAGGGTTCGTGGTCGACCAAAGGTTCAGTAAACAGGGTAAATGGACTTAAAGTGTGCGCCAAAGTTTAAAACTGCGCAGGCGCAGCGCTCTCGCTAACCTATATAAAGAGATTACAAGGTACAGGCTTCAGAGGTAAGTCAGGAAGGTGAACAATCTTCGTCCCATGTTGATTTCCCGTATAATCGTAAACAGGCAAGTTTCACCATTGAAATTGAAAATTACTATTAGATATACTTTGTAGATGTTATTAATGAGCTATTAAGTGTATGCATCAATCAAATGGCTCATTTTGAACATATAAAAAGTATTTGTGTTTTGTTTCCCAGGGAATCGTATTCCCATGTAGTACACACATAAATAGTGTACATTATGTAGTACTTGAATAGCCTGGTTTATATAATATTGAAGGGCATGCTGATTGTACACACGAGGATATGCATGAAGGCCTAATATTGATATTGCTTGCATACCTAAATAAAAGTAAACTCTTCTAATCCCCTAATGTAAACACGGCGGTATCACGCCCGGTGATCGTACAAAATGGATGGAGGGGGGATTAGGCGATTTCTGCAAGAAAACTCAACAAATTTGGAAGATTTATTTTTTCAAGAGTAAATTTACAACTGAATCGCCAAATGAATAGGCGCAGTGCATGGCAAAATA